TCTTTCACAATAGAATAATCGCCATTGCCGGGATTCGAGAGTATAAAACGCATTAATAACCATAAGTTGAAATGTTTAAATCATTATTACAGTGCAACTACTCCTTACCTATCAGTAACCATGAACCTTAAAATGAACAAAAATAAAAAAAATATTCTCTTTCGATAGTCGGCTGCCGCGAGTTAAAATGAGCAACACATAAACAACATAGGCTTTTGGTCGTATCACCAGCTTGAGGCGAATCCTAACCTGATATCCTACCCAATTCTCCAACTTCGTAGCACTTATGAGGATGTCTCACTAAGTCGGTGGCCTCTCGTTGAGTAAGTACTACAACAACATTTCCTTTCCTATCCCTTGTTACGGATAAGCGTTACGGTTGAGAAAAGCGATAATCATGCTTTTGGTACCTTACCTTACTAATCAGGCTAAGACCTTGTTGTCCTCTGCTATCCGAAGAAGTCGTCTCCACTCTACCCGATCCATGGCCACAGTTCGCCAGCCTCGTAGTCTGCGAAGGGTCCGCAGGTCACCTTCTACTTGGTCGATCCACCTTGCCCGCTGCGCGCCTCTTCTTCTTGTTCCTGTTGGGTCGCTTTCTAGAACCATTTTCACTGAGTCGTCGTGCAGCATTCTTACGACGTGCCCAGCCCACCGTAGTCACCATGAACGATGGATGGTTCTCCCAGCAGCTGGTGCAATTCGTGGTTCATTCGCCTCCTCCACGTTCCTTCATCCATCTGCACTCCACCGTAGATGGTACGCAACACCTTCCGTTCGAAAACACCAAGAGCGCGTTGGTCTTCCACGAGCATAGTCCAGATCTCGTGGCCGTAGAGGACCACCGGTCTAATCAGCGTCTTGTGACCGGAGCGTCCTCCGGAGTCCATAGTAGGCACGATTCCCTGCCATAATGCGTCTTTGAATTTCTCTGCTGGTATCATTTTCGGCGGTCACCAGTGAGCCCAAATACACGAACTCATCGACCACCTCGATTTCGTCACCGTCAATCTGAACTCGGAGTGGAAGGCTAACATTGTCTTCCCTAGAACCTGTTCCTTTCATGTATTTTGTCTTTGATGCGTTGATGGCAAGTCCAATCCGCCTAGCTTCAGCCTTCAGTCTGAGTACGTTTCCGCCATCGTCTCAAAGTTCTTTGCCATAATGTCACTGTCATCGGCGAAGCCAAGAAGCTGGATGGACTTCCTGAAGATCGTGTCATTTTGTCGATACCAGCTCTTCTGATCACACCTTCTAACGCGATGTTGAATAGCAGACACAAAGTCCATCACCTTGCCGAGATTCAAAGGGACTCGAGAGTGTCCCCGATACGCAAACAACGCACATCACTCGATCCATCGTCGCCTTGACCAATCGCGTCAGTTTGTCCGGAAATCCGTACTCGTGCATAATCTGCCATAGCTGATCTCGATCGATTGTGTCGTATGCGGATTTGAAATCGATGAACAAATGATGTGTGGGGAGGTTGTATTCGCGGCATTTCTACAGAGCTTGCCGAATCGCGAAAATTTGGTCCGTATTGCCTGGTATTGCCCCACGAACTCTCTTGCAAATGGTGACAGGCGGCGGCATAGAATTTGGGAGAGTACTTTGTAGGCGGCGCTCAGCAGTGTGATCGCGCGGTAGTTGCAGCAATCTAACTTGTCGGGCGATTGTAGATTGGGCATACGACACCTTCCATTCACTCCTCCGGTAATATCTCCTCCTCCCAAATCTTGGCAATTACCCAGTGCAGCGCTCTAGCCAGTGCTTCACCACCGTATTTTAATAGCTCACTTGGTAGTTGATCTACACCAGTCGCTTTGTTGTTCTTCAGCCGACCGATCTCCTTCTCAACTTCTTGAAGATCGGGGGCCAGTAGCCTGTCGTCTTCTGCCCGTGCGCCAAGGTCTGTTGCCATGCCACCTTCGTTTTCTACTGCCTCACCGTTGAGGTGCTCGTCATAGTACTGCTTCCACCTCTCAATCACCTCACACTCGTTCGTGAGAAGGCTACCGTCCAAGTCCTTGCACATATCGGCTTGCGGATCGTAGCCTTTGCACGAACTATTTAGCTTCTCGTAGAACTTCCGTGTGTCGTTTACGCGGTACAGATTTTCCATCGCCTCGTGATCTCGGTCTTCCTGCTGACGCTTCTTCCTTCGGAAAACCGAGTTTTGTCTGTTCCACGCTTGTCTGTATCGCTTCACATTCAATCTCGTGCGGTGTTGCAGTATTCTCGCCCGTGCTGCATTTTTCTTCCCTACTAACAGCTTGCATTCGCCGTCAAACCAGTCATTTCTTCGGTCCGGGATTGCAGTACGTAGTGCCACTGCAGCAGTACTACCTATGGCGGAACGGATGTCCCTCACAGTCATTTTCAAGAGAAGCTGCGCCAAGCTGCTCTTCCGTGGGTAGTGCAACTTCCAGCTGCTGCGCGGAGTCCTGGGCAACTCCGGCGTCCCGTAGTTGCTCAATGTTGGGTCACGGCGTTCGATTTCCACGGGTGTTATGCACCGTCGAGAGTTTTGAGCGCATGCATACTGCAACTAGGTAGTGGTCCGAATCTATGTTCGCACTGCGGTACGTGCGGACGTTGATAATGTCGGAGAAGAACTTCCCGTCGATTAGAACGTGATCGATTTGGTTTTCTGTGTGTTGGTCAGGTGATCTCCAGGTGGCTTTGTAGATATCCTTGCGGGGGAAAAAGGTACCTTGAACCACCATACCACGATAGGCTGCAAAGTTCACGCATAGTTGGCCGTTGTCGTTCGATACGGCATGCAGGCTGTTTGGCCCGATTGCCGGTCTGTACATTGCCTCCCGTCCTACCTGAGCGTTCATGTCGCCGATGACGATTTTGACGTCCCGTTGCGAACAGCCGTCGTACACCTGCTCCAGCTGCGCATAGAACGCTTCTTTCTCATCGTTGGGTCTCCGTTCATGTGTGCAGTGCACTTTGATAGTGCTGTAGTTGAAGAAACGGCCCTTAATCCTCAACTTGCACATCCTCGCGTTGATTGGCTGCCAACCAATCACGCGTTGGCGCATCTTACCCAGCACTACAAAGCTGGTTCCCAGCTCGTTGGTGGTGCCACAGCTCTGGTAGAAAGTAGCCGCTCGATGCCCGCTTTTCCATACCTTTTGTCACGTCCAACAAAGTTCCTGTAGTGCTACGACTTCGAAGTTGCGTGGTTGAAGTTCGTCATAGATTAACCTAATTATCGCAGCCCGGGAAGCCGAGCGATTTGCAGTTCCATGTTCCGAGTTTCCAATCGTAGTCCTTATTTCGTCACGTAGGTCTGTGCTGATTGTTCCGATGAGGTTCCATAGATCATTTTTTACGTGCTGAGCACCAATGCTACCAACGCCAGGGAGGCAGATCCCACACCTGGACCCTACCCATCAACCCATCAACTCATAAACCGGGGACCAACGGCTTTACTTCCCTTTTGAAGGAAGGCGTGATCAGGCTTTTAGGCCTGCTAGGGTGAGAGGTAATCACGCTTACCACAACACAACCAGCACCGCTGGTTCACGGGATCATGAAGCGCCCTGCAGTGAAGCTAGCCTCTCTGGACGTAGCTGTTAAAGGCATTTCTGATGGAAATCACCCACCGGGCAATCGTCAGTTATCGAGAACGTTAGTTCAGAATGCCATTCGAACCGTCAGTCTGACATCTAGCAAAGAACGGAACTGGGACGATGTGTCCAGAGACGGCATTTGGGGCATAATTGAAGTGAACGTATTTTAGCTCAGTAGATCGATAATTATTTTTTTCCTATAATTTGCTGTAGTTAAGTTAAAGTTATGTGTAGGGAATTTAGCTAAAACCATTTATTTGAAGTATAATCTGTCGAGTTATAGTCAGTTCGAGTTAATCGAGATACCTTTAAGGAATTTTGAAGACCCACTACAAAGACAACAACGTATATATGATTGTTGCGGGAATTGTAAACAGACCGAAGACCGCCGTCACTTCCAGGAAAACTTTCAGAACAATGGATATAGTTTTAGATTTTTTCCCCACCCTGTGAGAGATCTGGTCAAAAAAATAAACTTTGGTAATTTAACTTAACTTGGCTTAAAGTAAACTAAATTTACTTTAGAACACATTTGAAATTTCAGAAGTCCGTGGAATATATGGCGATTTGAATTTGGGGTCAAATTGACCCCAAGGTACAGACAACGTTTGTTTTTTTTTAAGCACAAACGAAGGGTTAAGAACGTCACGAGAAATAAACAGGGTTATTCCGAACATCACCTCACTGTCACTGTCACTTCATGGAGTGATATCATAGTGAAATCTTCGGAGCCAGTGGACCGACTTCAAAAATAGTCAATAGTATTTAATAGGACTACGGTACCTTCTATTTGGTACAGTGGATTGACCAACAGTTTAAATTTTCAAATTTGATAGAATACTTACCGAGAGATAGGGGAAAAGGCTCTAATATTGGGTCCATCGCCAAAAATCTGCTGCTTATCAATTTGATGAACGCGTCATTGGAACGGTACTTATGGATATTTTAAATCGCTATTGAAAATTTAGTCGAATGCTGAATTTATGTATGGGCCCAAATTAACTAATTAGAAATAACGACTTATCTTCAGCTGTGGTACTCATTTCTCAGCGTGTGATATAGTATGATCATCATTTCTAGTAACTGTCGAAGGCAAACATTTGGCCAATACATAATGTCACTAATATGATTTCAGTCGAACGAGTGCAAGTTGCTTCTCAAATCATACCCATTATATCAGAAGCAAAATTATAAGCCACAAAAAAAAGTCACTCATCCTATTAGAATAATAAGCAGAAATGAAATCAAAGAAAGCTTCCCGTTTCGATCAAAAAAGACAAAGCAGCTTGTATAACCAACGAGAAGGTGGAAAATGTTTTCATTGGCATCGGTTGCATCCAAGAAAAATTTCTTCCATCCCATTAACCATTCTCGAACGTAATGCGAATGGAACAGCCAGATAATGAAGAAAATGCATTCTCTTTGATGATGCTCTAGCTCCGAGAAGAAAAGAAAACTAACGAAGGTTTTATTGAAAGCAAGCTCGAGGAAAAGAACAATTTCCACTTCTTTGGTTTGCTAATTAACGAACGAACCGAGAGGGAGGGCCAGGTTTAATTACTCGTCTAATGTACGCCCGATTGGTGATGGCACCATCAAAGACAAAACGGAACAAAATCGGATCACGCCCTCGCAATTACAGTATTGGTGAATTTGATCGTAACGTCCGTGGTGCGCATGTTCGAGTACGGGGCGGTGTAGTCCTGCAAAGTTTCCACGGAAGTTGCTGATCGTCTATCGAACGGGAATCCCATGGCTCGACCATCTGGGTATTTTTGATCCCGAAGACCGCAGAACGAATGCGAGTCGGCGCATTTTGCAGCACTGGATAAAATGAAAAAAAAAACAATCCTGATTAGTTGAGGGAGGTTATTATTCAGCGACAACTTACTCTGCAAAATCGATGTTCTCGCCAATGTTTTCGTTGGCATAGTTTGAAATCATGAGGAACAAATCGAAACGCATACCCTCGGGAGTTCCTTTCGGAAGGAGCATATGTTCGGGCCATCCACAACCGCAGAAGCGGAACTGCTCCAGGTCGGTCTTGTTCGGGAGATCTTTTTCATTTTTGATCCGACGGAATGTGCGGTCGAAGGCAACGGTTACACTGGATTGATCCGATCTGCGTTTGATTGTGTTGGTTCCTGGGTTCACTGAAAAAAAAAATCAAATCAGTTAAGCTGTCTTAAATCACGTCTTGCGTTAAATGGCAACGAACATATAACTCCAAATTTATCCATTTCTATGACGTAGCCTCTCCAATCGCTGTACTTCAGAGGCGTATTACGATCGTCCACTTTTGGTGCCAAGAAAATGCGAGCAGTTCCACGGATCGGAGTGCTGTTTGAATTTTGAACCTCGAAAATGTACGAAAATGCCGCATGTTGTAGGTGAGTGAAGGAAGCGAATACATTTCCGTCGGGTCCAAAGTCCAATCCGGCAGCAAGATCAACCTGCGATCGTTGCCAGTAGGTCAACAGAACGTTTTGTGGGACCTTTGGTCGATTCAACGAGACACTGAGACTGGAGATGGCGATTCCCGGAAATGAGAGCTACGTGGATTAAAAGCACTGTAGTTATGTCATTCTCGTTGTCAAAGTCAGTAAAACTACCTCATTTGCGGTGTAGGGATCAAACGTATCTTTGTGACGAACAAGGATATCATCAATGAACGAGTGCCATCTGTAGAAGGTTGGATCACGTTGAGCCGTGGCCACATCTCCCATTATGCCGTACTCCTCTAGGTAGCGGTTTTCCGGATCATGACAGAAGGCTAGCGCAATGTGGCCTGAAATGTGCAGGTTACCGTAGAGTTTCGGATTAATCGACAAATCAGAGGCTTCGACAATGTTTGAAAGAATGTCGATTCCAGTTTTCTCGTCCAAAGGCACGTTTCTCCCAGAGGACTGTAATCATTCAATAATAATAGTAGATAGAAGGATAACCTAGATATGATACTTACATCCACAATGAATCCAGCATCGATTGCAGCGTAAATTCGATCTCTCCATTGTTCCATTTCGGTGATTGTAAACTTCAGCCCTTCAACGTAGCGATCAATGTCCTTCAGTGCGAAATTCCTCGGTCTAGACGCATATGGCCGATTGTTGGAACTTCTGACCATCTTCGGGAAATAAGCTTCCGGGATTGAATCACGGAAATTGTGCATACTCTTCGTCTTTCCCAACCGGTTGCCAAATCTTTCCACATTGTACCGATGAATGATTTGCTGATGCATGTAGAAAAACAGTTCACCACGTCGATCCTTATCGATCACTATCTTTGGACCTGACGTGGGGTAAACCAAATGCCAATGCCAGTGATGCATATTAACACCAATGTCCTCGCGGAAATAAGCCAACCTTTGTTCATCGTCGCGATCCGAAGCCGTGTAGTTTTGCGGAAGCTCAATTACCATCTGTAAACAAACCCCCTTCGACATTAAATCTCCCATTTCCCACAAAACTTTGAAAACAATCTCACCCGATTAGCTTGACTGACTACCTTTCCCTCCTCGCGCAGCTTGGGAAATACAGCCGGATCAACAAACTGATCTGGAAACAGTTCCAAAATTGAAGGTAAGTTCACACTGCTCGTATCCTGTCGATGCTGCACGGCCACTGCCAGAGCGTACTGGAACAGGAACACGTTCAACCGATCGCGGCTGTACGACGCCACGCTGAGCAGCGAGGATATGTCTGGCTGTTGCAGGAACAGGTCGATCAACTGTGACGCGATCTGACGGTGCTTTTCGATGAACAACGAAAAGGAACCTCTCCGATCGATCACTTGTGCAAACGAAATGTCCGGTACACCGACGTTTCGCACCGGAATGCGAATGTCAACATTGTCCGTGAAGCGTTTCTGGAGCTCATCGCCGATTGGCCGGTACCGATCAGTTAGGTACTCGTCCGGAAGTTCCAGCACGGTTTTGCCATCGTTTTTCGGATAAAACGTTGGCTCCAGGGGGCGCTGGAGAAGCGCGAGCACATCCGAACTGGAGGTCATTTTTGACGACGACTGAAGCGAATTGTTAGTGGGACGATACGTGTGTGAACACTAATCTGAAATGGAGTGCACAGAATGTTTTTATAGCGTGAAAACCGACGATAGCTGTCCGGAGCTGTGGTTTTGCGGTTTTTGGTTTTAGGTTCAGCGATGAAGGACGCATTTGACTAATTTAAATAAAAATATGGTCAGTTATTTAGTTTATGTTATGTCAGGGAGATGTTTGAGACGCACCCTAGTGATTGCTAGATGAAGCTGATAAGCTGACCTTGAATTGATCAACTGTTTGAATGTAACATTGTTGCTTTAACGGTAAGGTTTGCTTCTCTAGTTCAATTCAATTCAATGAATCGAGAAAAAAAAGTGAGAAGAATATCTTTCATGAGGTGCAATGGAAGATAGAATGGCAAATGTGTGGTACATCAACTGTAACGGCCTTAAGGTGATATTCTAAGGAAGCTTTAGCGTGAAATTTCAAAAGCACAAATCGCAGCTTCCACAAAACATTCAAAGGTTGCTATACTAAGTACTATGATGCAAACAAAGACCAACAATTTAATTATTGTATCTTTTGTAGAAGCTGATCTTTGAGCTTTTGAAAATTCATACTAAGGCTTTCTTTGAGTATCACCTTAAATTACGCTTAAGAGCAATGATTCTCAATTTGTCGTTTAAATAGTGACACACCAAGATATTATGGAGGGCTCACTTTAATGCCGAGCCTGAACATCGAAATGTGATTGGTGGCTGCCCACAGAAAGGTGGGGTGATTCATTCAAATTAACCAGTGGATACCCAGTTATGGGCAGTTCAAAAATTACGTGACGCAAGAGGGAGAGGGGTGAGTGTTGAAAAGTGCTACAATTTGTTACACAATTTTTACATGAAGAAATCATTGAATGCTCTAATGTTCCTTGAACATCAAAAAAGTACTCTAATCTATATTTCTTGAATATTTCCTCAACTTCTGCGAAGTTTCATCATTTCTTTCCTTTATTTTAACGTCGGTCTCTGTTCCGCAATCTAGTGCCAATCACCGACGGACATCGATTACCATCCATTGACGGCAATCGAATGTGCAGGAAGGCAGCTTCCACACCTGCGTAGGATATCGCACCCATTCAACACACATACACATGGGCCGGGACCAACGGCTTTACTTCCCTTCCGGAGGAAGACGTGACCAGAGATTTTTATGCCTCAGAAAAGGGAAGTTTCATCAACTCAATTAAGATCTCAAAACATCTTTGACCTTCTGCAAACCTTGAACCAATTTTACTAATTTTCTTACATATCTGGGCGATATAAAGTTCTCAAAGTATGCTGAGTTTCTACAGTACTCCATGGACTTCTGTGAAACTTCCTGAACATCTATGAAGTTCACTGAGCTTCTACAATTTTAGCTGAACTCCTACAAAGTTTCTTGACCTTAAACAAAAATACATGCACGTCCAACAAGGTTTCAAACTTCCTTGAATTGCTACGTACTTCTCTTGACTCCTGCAATGTTCTCATCATTCCTTTGAAGTTTTCTGCACTCCTAAAGAGTTTACTGAACTATTTACAGTTCCGTTGATTTACTTCTAAGTTCTGTGAATTTAAAGAAATTTATCCAAATATCAATTAATTTTTCTGATCTATTTTAGAAGCTAAGAAGTATTAAAATGTTATTTTAAGTTTTAGAAAATGCCCTAAAGCTAAACGAACAATGTTTATGAAGTTTCTTAAAATAAACCAAAGTTTCCATAACTTCAAACATGTTTCCCAAACTTGCATTATGTTCCCAGTTCTACATTGCATAGTGAGCCAATAATTAATCTAGCAGGAAACAAATAATAACGCTTCAGGATTGCATCCAATTGAGTTAACGTCTTGAGTGAAGTTTCTTGGATTAATTAGAACTACAATTTGATGGATCAAAATAGATCATGTGTTGGACCCAAAGATGGCGCAGCGATACAAGAGTTCAGTTTCGAACCCTTTCGGATCAGGGCTGAAAAAATCACTAAATTTCATCAAAGTTCACTATCGGATACGGTTGTGTTTTAAGTCGGATACGGTTGTGGTAAACCATTCTCACATAGCTAACAAAACCCCAGTTAATATGAACCATGCTAATAAACTATCCACCCCAGGCACCGAGTCATCGCTCTGGCAAGGATGTCACTAGAACTGCAGTGATCTCTCGTCCTCTTCCACCCACTTCCCGCGTGGGCCAAGGTTTTTCGCGCAGCAAGAAAGGTTTCGAATGACAACGCCGGGCGTTCAAACAAAATGTAACCATTATTTCCGATATTGCTAGGATGCGCATTTTTTGTGCCACTCCAGTCGTCTCACTCCTTTACCCAAATGACTCTTTTCAACATACACAAATCAATGTAACTAAAACTGTATAAAAGGAAAACGCATTTCAATAAACGAGGGTCAGGATTGGCACCAAGGTGATGCTGCGTACCAAAGCGGAGTACGAAGCAACTGTGAAGTACCTGAAGGATTCCAGGTCGGAATACTTCATACATGACATCCCCAGTGAGAAGCTCTTCAAGGTAGTCATCAAGGGCTTACCGAACTTTAACCCCAAGTCGATCGAAGAAGAACTTAAGGACCGTTACAAACTAGCCCCAATCGCAGTCTTCTGGATGACGAGGAGAGACAAAAACGTGAAAACGTACCCGGATTGCCTTTTCCTGGTTCATTTCCAGAAGGGAACGGTGACGCTCAATGCGTTGAAGGCCATCCGCTCCATCAACTTCATCATTGTTCAATTGGGGCCATACCGTGGCGGCCGTCACGACATCACCCAGTGTCATCGTTGCCTGAATTTCGGGCATGGCACCCGAAACTGCTACATCAATCCGCGCTGTGGAAAATGCACCCAAAATCATGTTTCCTTCGAGTGCGTTGTCGACGAGTCGGAAACGAGCAAATGCGCCAACTGTGGTGGAGCTCATCAATGGTCCGACAAACAGTGACAAACGCGAGGATTTCAAGCGGATCCGAAAGCAAGCGTCCACAAGAAGCCAACCAGGACGGAAGAAGGAAAACACTCCGGCATTCAGGGTGGAGGACTTCCCGCCGCTTCGTGTTACGCAACACGTTCAAGCCCGCCAATCCCGATCTCTTCTCTGCGGATGAGCTGATGAAGATTTTCGTCGACATGACCAGCGCTCTTCGTCAGTGCCGCAACAAGCCTGAACAGATCCAAGTGCTCGGTAGGTTTATCATTCAGTATGGCGTCAAAACCGTTAACTATAGTCACGTGGAACGCTTGCTCTGTACGAGCCAAAAAGTTCGAGCTTGCTGACTTCCTCCGTAAGCATAGTATCGACGTGGGCCTCCTATCAGAGACCCATCTAAAGTCCGGCGACAGCTTCCGGCAGCCAGACCACAACATTATTCAGCTTGATCGCACCAGCTCCAGGGGATGTGGTGTTGCGGTCGTCGTCAAGAAAGGAATAAAATACTACACTCTGTCCCATATCCGCACCTCTATCATTGAGGCCCTTGGTGTGGAGGTGGAGTCGTCGCCTGGATACGTCCAGTTCATCGCCGTCTACTGCCCTCAACAGTGTGCCGCCAACAGTGGACTAGTGGCTAAATTCAAGAAGAACCTGTCCACCATCACCCGTAACGGTACCCGCTTCGTAGTAGGAGGAGATCTAAACGCTCGCCATGAGGCCTGGCGGAACTACCAGCAGAACCAGAACGGTCGTCTGCTGTTCGACCACTCACAGCATGGGCTGTACTCCGTTTGGTTTTTGGATGAGCCAACATTTATCTCACCGGCGGGCAACCCATCGACGCTAGACCTGTTCCTGACAAATATCGGCTTGTCCAAGCCGGTAGCATTGAACGAACTCAGCTCCGACCACTAACCGGTGGTGGCTGAACTGGGCTGCAACGTGGCTCCTGCTTCAAGCCTGCGCAAGAACTTCCATCGCGTAAACTGGACCCAGTTTGGACGCGTGGTAGACAGGCACATCACCGATAACCCGCCGCTTGACACCGTGGAGGACATCGACCGAGCGTTGGAGGGACTCCACCAAGCCATAACCGTGGCTGACGAGGCATGCGTCCGACGAGTTCCTGTGAGGGGTAAGTTTATTGCCATTGATTCCTACACCCAATTACTGCTTCGCTTGAGAAATGTGCATAGACGCCAGTTCCAGAGAACCGGAGATCTAGCGAGGAAACGTGAAATGGCCGATCTGAACAAGGAGATTGCTTCCAGAATGGTCTCACTCTGGAACGAAAGTTTCGGGTGGCTTGTCCAGAATCTGGACGACCGCTCCAGGCCATTCTGGAAGGTAGCCAAGGTTCTGAAAACTCATCCCAAACCCGTTCCACCTCTCAGAGTGGAAAATGATGACGATCGGCTTTTAATCACCCCACAGGAGAAAGCAAATGCGATCGGCTCAAATATCCAAAGTCAGCTCGAAGATCAGGTTGCGCAATGCGTTCGAAACTTAGATCCCTCCCCTTGTGTCGTGCCTCCGGCGGATTTGATTACAGTACAACAAATTTGCTCAGCGCTGAAATGCACCAAGAACATGAAGGCTCCCGGGTTTGACGGTATATTCAACTTGATCTTGAAAAGACTTAGCATGAAAGTGCAGTCTCTTCTAACCGCTATCTTCAACTGATGCTTGGAACTGCACTACTTTCCAGGCATCTGGAAAGTAGCAAAAATCATACCAATCCGTAAGCCCGGTAAAGTTCCGACATTGCCTTCAAGCTACAGACCAATCAGCCTCCTTTTAGCGCTGAGCAAATTGTTCGAGTTACTCATTCTTAATCGTTTGCTCAAGCTTGTCGAGGAAAATAAGATTCTCCTTCCGGAACAGTTTGGATTCAGAAAGGGGCACTCCACCAATCACCACCCAGACAACCAGAATGCACGTATATTCAATGTTGTTTTCGTGATGTACAAACATATATACAAACGAACAATTCGTATAGAATGCAAATAAATGGCTTATACGTACAAAAGTGGAGGCCATATACGTGCATAT